AAACGATCAATATCTCCCTTGCAAGCAGTGCAAGCTATTGATTATATCCATTGGAGAATAAAGAATTCAAGCAGTTGTTTGGAGCCCAACCCTGCTTCCACTGAAGCTAATAGCAAAACTCCTCTTGGATTTAAAAAGAGCAAGAATGGGCCATTAGGATATTGTTGCTTTCTTTTTTTACCAAGCTATGTGCAGGCACTAATCACAGCTCTTCTTCTCAACCATGTGTTTAATGTCAGCAAACAAACTTTTAGGATGCAGGCTGCTTTTACCTAGTTTTACCCAGATGTACTGTAAGAGTCAGAAATGTAAATAATTGGTTGGCATTCTTCACTCAAATGATTCTGCTTCAGGCAGGGAGTTACACTAGATGCCCTCTGGAGGTCCCTTCCAGTCCTACTTCTCCATGAGTCTATGACCCAGTATACTGTTTCTGTTTACAAGAGTAGGTGTTTTTCTATTATTTCAAATTTTACTGGGACATAAACTGCCAATAATTATTAGTTTCACTAAAAGGATGTCTACTGTCACTGAAAAATGGATCAATGAGTGGACCACATATTGATGGCAAAGAGTGACCATTTGTCTGTGTTGTATTCACTCACACATGTGGCTGCACTGAGGCAATTTGGAGCCCTCTTTGCCCTCGGGCCACATCTTACTTGGGATGGTCCCCCAAGTAGGGTTAGGGGTTGCCCCTCTTTTCCTAAGCCAGTGGAATGGAGCCCCGAGAAGTCACAACAAAAGAAGGAGAAATTACTCATTTTTCTGGGCTCTTTTATGTACTTTTTGACTTATCAATCAGAGAGTACTTGTAGCAGAGTATTGTGGGCAGCACAGAAGAGGTGAATGTTTTGGGAGGGAAACTGGAATGAAAAGAAGGGAAAATACTTTTGTGACCTGGGACTGGGAGAATGTTGTAAGGCAAAAGGCATGTCCTAGGAGACCATATAGGGTCAGTTAGAAGAGAAGCAGATGAATAGGCTGTTACCTATTATCAATCATTGTAATTGTGCACTGCCTTCATGGGCAAGTCTGGAAGAGAGAAACAATCAACAAAGTTGCCAGCGGGTGCAGCTACATGAGATACTAACTGCGCAGTAGCTGAATACTGTGCAATAGCACATCACAACACCAACAGCGCTAATACGCTAGTGCACTTATTATTAGGCTACTGTGCAGTAGTGTCACTAAAAAGGCATGCACCAGTGCTTCTGCACAGTAACTCCAGTTATTGCGCATTTATTTAGTATTTGATCATACAAATACTAAATAAATACGTTATAACCGTTGCACAGTAGCGTCTCTTGTAGATGCGCCCAGTGTAAACTATGTTAGCGCTCACCATAGCTGTATCTCAAAAATAAAGTATGAAGATTAAACTTGATGCAGTTTAAAGGAGGGGGCCAGTGAAGGATTGGGGAGGAGAGCAGTGGGGCCAGAGTGATAGGTAAGGAAGATCATTTTCTTGCTACTTATGGTATTAACACTAAGTTACATAAAAAGACAGTATTTTCACTTTGCTCACATCAATCTCTCAGTCAGCGTTTCCCCACCCTTCTTTGTATATTTAGGGGAATTTTGGAAAATGCTCCTGTGGTTTTTTTCTGTCCAAACTTTTGAAATCTATTCCTGGCATTTTCCTTTGAGTACTGGTCTCTGGAGCAGTTAATCAGCTTTCCCATTTAAGCAGCATAAGAAATGGTAAGCCCATTAACACACACCTTCCACTAACAGCTTGGCTCAAGTCTTCTGAGGGACAGCATGCCCCACCTGAACATTCACTTGCTGTGTGCAAAGCAAAATTATAGCACAGCTAAGTGTCTGTGAGCAATTTTTAAAAAGTCCTTTCAAGTCTGAGTCAAAGAAGTGTAGCAACCTGTGGTCTGACTCGGGGCAAATAAATACATGCTCAGTTTTCATTTTTATATGTGTGTGTGTAATACGTGTATGTTATTCTAAAACACCAACCAAGATCAAACTCAGTATCTTGATCAAAGTGTGCTGCGGTGTGCTTCCCCTTCAGCACACTGCCGGTATGTTGGCAAGCCGCCCAGAAGGAGCAAGCAGCAGCCGGTGGATCAGATTGCAGTTTATACACCTGACGTGGTAACTGAGTGCGATGGAATTCTGGCCGGCGTGGGAAAGACTAACCAAAGCCAGGATCTTGAGACTCAAAGTACTTAATTAAAATACTTCATCTAAGGCCTGTTTGTTATGGCAAAGCCAACCTATATGTTTAAAAAAAGTCTGTTTTTCATACAATCAGCAAGACTGGTGAGGCTCCTCTTGGGCTGCTGCAATTAGATATTGACAAGTGAGGAAATGAAATTTGGAGGGATGAGGAATCAGTCAAAATACTGACTACATTGATGTTGTTTTTTTAAGGCAACTGAAACAACATAATTATGGAAAGGATAAACCGTAATTGCAGGCAGTATTTTTGAAGCTATAAGTTCTTACATTTCATTTATACCAGAACCCACCTAAATAGACCTTATGGTATTTTTTTTAATTAATCATTTAGTGCACCAGGGTTCCATGAGATGAGCATCACAATGGACCAACTTAGAGTAAAATAATATTACCCTTAAAGTATTTCATATTGTTAGAAACATTCTGGAATTTGTATATTATCCAGCAGGTCATATTTGAAATAGTACTTAAGACTTACAAAAATCAACATACCATTCATTTACATTTTTAACAACTTGCCACATCTGCTTATGCTTTGTTCTCATTCTCTTTCATTGGTGTACATAACATTCTACATTTCTCCATCAGGCAAATTAATTAAAAGAACATGACCAAGATTTTCTTTTAGGACTTGATCCTGCAAACATTTATGTTCTTTCTTAAATTGGCTGCTACAAGTAGTCCCACTAACTTTAACAGGATTACATAGCAAAATTATGCACTTGCATAAATTTGCAGGATTGGCAATTTAATATTCCTAGTTCCTGAAGAATTAAAGAATGTCTTGTGGAAAAGGCAGAATTGTAATGATAAAAGCCAAAAACCATTTTTTTTTTACCCTTCTTCTAATAATGGATTCTGTCTTAGGGTATTACTGTGCTGTCTACCACTGCAGTATATGAGTAAATTTAATATGAAATCAGTAGCAGTACTGAAGTTCCTCACAAACTCTGGCACAACTTCTGTTTGGGGTTAAAAGATCTGTTTGTAGAACAGGTTTCTTTTACTTTATATTTTACTAGCTTCAATCTTTTTTGTGAGGGATCATTAAAAGTTTAAACGTGGAAAAACTGTCAATGTCAAAATCTTTTACCTGCCGTCTAATTTTAAAAGCACATAGATTTATTTACTGTATGTTTAGCTGTTTGATTAAAAAATTGGATGAGTTTAAAAAAAAAATAAAGGAGCATCTTAAGGATTTTTTTCCACCCAAATATAACCAGTTGTGATTTTAAGTAATCCAACTATTTAAACAAAGTATAACAAACCTATTTTATATTATCTGTTCCTAAAGTTCAAAAATATTTTTAGAAGTCAACAATGCTTGCTTTGACTTTCAATTATTCTGTATGGGATAAGAAATCACAGTCAATAGCAGTGAGTTTTCCAGATGTTTTTGCAGAGTGAGTGAATGTGTATATATGCATCTATATGTGGTAATGGTGGAAAACAATCCATCTCCCCTCATCTGTGCACCACCCTGTACGAATGAAAACCACAGGAAAGAAACTAGCAGAGCCTGACATCTGTGAGCTAACTTACAATATCTGATTAAAGCTCAGTATCCCTAAGTACTTACAGCTACCGGCTGACACGCATCTTTACTCATGAATAAAGAGTAGATTAAGAGAGAGTGAGAAAAGGAAAAGTGAAAGAAATCCAAGCGGGAAAAATTTCTATCTATAGGTGTGTATTAAATTTCACATCAATTAAAAATGAAGACTCAGTCACTGAAACATGAGTTTTCTGTCTGCATTTTCGCCTTGGACTACAGAGCTGTTTACAGACATTGTACACACAGACAGAGTGAAGGAAACAACTGAAAGTAGTGGTATAAAAATTATAAAGGCTCTGTCTTGAACAATGGGAATTATTCCAGTGCTTGGAGCCAAATCCTCCTCTCTGCCAGCAGAAAGGACAAAACTGTAAGAGGGCTAGGTAGAGGCAGCAATATAGGAGGGGAAATGCTGTTTCCCCAGCACCACCTCCTGCTGACACCATAGAAGCCCCTACAAACTTCCCCCCCCCTTTCTATTTTTATTTACTGCCTTTATCAGCCAGGGCTTTCCCTTTATTATTGTACTTACTTTTTATAGCTGAAATCCTGCCTTCCCAATTTCTCTTGTTTCACATTTAACTTCTTCACCAAATTTTATTGATAGTTATTGGAATCTTAACAAAATAAACAAACTCGGCACCAGCTGCTCAAACAGCCGTGGTCGCCTATCTGGAATGTATGGTGGTCTGGTCTGGTCAGGGCAGCCACACAATGCAATTTATTCCCACACCTGAGGGAATGAATTTCACAACTATAATTGCTACAATATAATTCTTATTAATGTTGTGCTATAATTCCTATTAATTCCAACAGGCTAGTAAATGCATTAGGACTTGTCAACATATTATTTTACACTGTTTATGATCTGTAGAATTACACTCTTCAGAATTGTTGCATCAAGGAAAGCTCTTAAAAATCAGCTTTACGTCAGAGAAAAATGCAAGTTTTCCAAGTGGACTTTGGAGGGAGACGGGAGGGATCTTTTTCTTTGTGAAGTAGTGAAATTTTGTTTTTGACCAATCCATAGTTAGACCTCTGCAGCTAATTGTTTATGAAGACATCACTAGTGTCTTCTTTAGCCACTGAAGGTGCTATATTAATAAAGGACAGCTTTATGGAATTAAAAATACCTGTCTTCCAGCAATGCAGAAAAGAAAGTTGTAAGTCACTGGGAACCATGTAATAAATATGAATTGCTTTGCAGTGACTTTACCTTAGTCTTGTTTTATCTCACCACCCTATTTAGGTAGCGAATATGATGAGGAAGAAGTAGACTATGAAGAATCAGACAGTGATGAATCATGGACTACAGAAAGCGCCATCAGCTCTGAAGCTATCCTTAGTTCAATGTGTATGAATGGAGGGGATGAGAAGCCTTTTGCCTGCCCTGTTCCTGGATGTAAAAAAAGATATAAGGTGAGTGTTGACTTGGTTCTTTTTGGGACACCAGAGGATAAAACCTGTTAGAGCAATTCTGTATCCTTTGAGAGTTTTTTCATATTAATTTTTACAGCATTTCAGCATTGTTTCATATTAGCTACAAAACCAATGCATATTTTGGTCCTTATCAGTTAAATCGAGAGAGGTTCTAAATACAATTAAAAACTGATGATTTTATATATCTTAGAACTACGTATTCATAGTAATTATTGTAAAACTTGCAAGATGATACCAAAAGAATCATCTGTAAAATGGAATTGCACATATTCCATATAAAACTTATTTATACTAATGCTAGAATGGATCTCTTCTGTAGAAGAACTATTACAGATAGTGTAATAGTTTTTAACTAAACTGAAAGCTTGCCAGTGATGCATTTACTACTACAGGTGATATGCATAAGATAATATTTAACTTCTGAGAAGATAAAGACCTCCTCTTGCAATGCAAAGCTGTTACCTCATAGAAACTTCTGTGTATAATAAATTCAGGCTCTGGTTTTGTAAATTAATCTGCATTTACAAACCTCAGTGCAGACCCCCAATGACTTGTCTATATAGCAGTCTGCCCACAGGAACTGACTGCAAGATTTGCATAGCACATGCTCCAAGAAACTACTTCTTCCTCCTTTTCTTCCCTCTCCTTATATCACAAAGGATATTTATATATATTTGCAGAAGTAAACTCTCTTGAAGCCCTAACCTCCTTTTGCAACATCAGTTGGCATATATGGAGATTTCTCTGATGTCACAAACAAAGGAATATCATTGCACACTAATTATTGCAGCAGATGATAAATTTTGACATTTTTGTTTTAGGCAAAGTCCCTTAATAATATGAATGATGCTAAGAAGTGAAAATGGGATGTGGGCAGGATTCTCTGTGTCAGCTGCTTTTCAAACATTTGCTTGAAGAACTGGAGAATCTTTTAAAATCTGACAGGCTGAAAGGATTCCCCGTCTACAGTTCATTTCTTTAAGAACTGTTGAATAAGATCTTTTAAAGGAACAAAAGGCTGAAAGATGAAAGAAATGAAGGGAGATCAGAAATCTTCTGAAGCATATAAATCCTGATGATAGCAAAACATGAGTGGTGCCTGAAAATGTGCATCTTACTGATTCCTCAGTTGTTCTGAACTGGCAGAAAAGCCATAGCACAAGTTGCATATTAAGCTATGCAAGGATTAGACGCTAGTGGAAGTACTAGCTACAAAGCAGAAGTAAAAAACTAGTGTATTTCCTAGTTAAATGCACAAATCTAGTTTGTAGAGATTAGTCTGAACTATGTAATTTTTGGTTACAGGAAAAGCAAATAATCTAGGGAGGAAAACATATTTTGGTGTGATCAAGCAGATGTGTTTGTATTATGCAAGATGAATGTTTTTGTTAAGGAAGGATTGAGGTAAAGAGGAAGGGTGAGGAATAAAAGCTCAATGTTTAGCTCAGGAAGCAAACAAGCCATAGTGATTGTTAGGAGTCACTTTTCCCAGAGGGCATCCATGCATTGAGGAAAACGTTTATTTAATGGAAAACGCTAGGAGGAGAACCCTGTAATTTGCTATATCCTGTCTGTTCTCTGTTTGACTGCCAGCCCCTCTGTCTTTTTATTGCCCAAATAAGCAAGCTGTTCCTGTCTGCTTCTGCTATCTCGCTACCTTCATCTCAAATGCATGAGGACTGTCTAAAAGATGTCTTGCACACGATTAATGTTAGAACAGGCAGACAGGGAACAAATTAATGACCCATAGAGAGGTTGACAAACAGAGAAAGCAGCAAATAAGAAGTACCGTATTTTGTGAAAAATAATACTCACTTCTTGTTTAGTTCAGATGCATAAAGGCATTTCTGTCTCACCTCATCTCTCCCCTTAGTCGCTTCTGTTTCCTTCTTTTTCCTCTTGGTCTAATGTGTGTGTATGTTTTATCTTTGTTTCCTTCCCTGAGTTTTGCCTTCATCTTCCTTCCTCTGTTTAACTCCCACTCAGAAGAATTATTTGTTGAGCTTGCCACAGTATCCTGGTCAAAGGAGCGTGCACTGGGATTTTTTGGTGGGCTCTGGGTAATCACACAGAGGGTTGTAAAACAGTAGTAGCTACAAACAAGAACACTGACACTCACATACAGTACTTACCAGGGCCACATAACAGCTGAAGGGGGTAAGGAAGACAGTGAACCTTTCTTCTGCCCAGCATTTATGTGATCTTTGTTTTATAAAAATACATTATTTGCTGCAGTATTATTGTTGCAGTAGTTTTATTTGTTATGCTCAGGACCCAGTCAGGGAAAACACTCCCTTTGGCTTGGCATTGTACAGGACTCTGGTGCAGTGTCTGCCATAGGGTAATTAATGTCATTAAGCAATTAAAAGAAGAGGTGCAAAAATAGATGTAACAAATACTCAGAAGTTGGTAGATGGAAGCTGTAGTAAGAAAACATCTTTACACAGGCCAGATAACTATCAAGTCCTTACTGGCCTGTATGTCTGTTCAATCACACTTAAAACATCCCCAAGATATAATTCCCTCCCCAGAAGTAATGTCCAATTTTCCCTGTTACCAAAGATTATATAGTTCAGGCTAGCTGTTATCAGTTGGCAGTTTCCTAAACACACCCCCATAGAAGTGAATCATAAACATGTTGCTCTTTTGCGGTTTTTCTTTTATTTTTGAAGACATAAAGTTGTCTACCAATACACTGAAGTATTATTGAAGCCTCTGATTTCTATTCTGTGGCATAACCTTTTTTTTTTTTAAGTACAATATCCAAAAGGCTTTCTAAAATTGAAGGCTACATTTATTAACAGGATTTTAAGCCTGTTGTTAGTGTAATTTCTAAAATGGCTAAGATATTTAGAAGAACACTGATTGCTAGATACTCTGGATATAATTCTGCATTGAAAATCCATCTCCATTATTAGTATTATTTTTAGGTATATGTACTAGGGGCCAGAGAACATGCAGCAGAGATTTTTGGTGAGCTATAGATGAAACTTCTGTATTTATATTATATATATTTGAAATTTTTCATTAGATTGTTAGCAGCCATCTAAATTCAGACACTGATATTTCAGTAACATGGTGGCTACCTCTGGATAGGGAAATTGTAACAATATATTTTATACAGAGGAACCTATATGGAAAGTTGTTAAAAAGCAAATTAAACATTTCAACTATATTTTATATATGTAATAGATAAATTCTATTATTCTAAAACTATGCATCCGTCTCAGGTTCTTTGATTCACAGCCTACATAATGACAACATAGAACTGGCACTTAAAGTTCCTTATGTGTTGCCTGGTAACACAAGCCCTAAAAATCCAGTAACTCAACAGTTAAAGGAACATCCATGTCCAGGCCAACCTCAATTTTTTACCATTCAAATGTCATAGTAAAGCAGATGCACTGACTTACAAGCACAACAAACTCCTTTCACTTCCAACGTACAACCTCTCCATGCACACACTGAGTTCTTTTTAACAATCTCTCACTTGTCTCCTTAAAAATAACAAGAGTTTCACCAGTGTACACATGATGTGATCGTATCATTCCAGAGTGGGAATTTGCTGTGTATTGTTAGGAACCTGTGAGTGTACCTGTTTTATTTCAGTAGAAAAGCCTGCATATTGAGGGTTGGTCTAAATTTTAATCATTGGCTTAAATGAATTTTGGGGACCTATTAATGGCTAAAGTTGGTCAAATACATTTCAAGAGGCAAGAGTTTTTGTAGTTGATATCTTTTATTGGCTTAGGGCCTTGTTACACATGAACTGCCTAAATGTTTATCGGTGTTAGTGCTAACGAGTTTGAAGAAGTCACACTTTCAGGCCAGCAGGGGCCTGGAGGACTAAAGGGTAAGAATTCTCCTCCCTGCCTCCCATTTCAGGCTCCCCGCCCCCCCTCCTCCCGGGGTTCCCACCCTGCCCCTGGGGTTCCCTCTGCTCTCCAGCTCCCATCCTGCCCCCCACCTCGCAACCCTGTGGCTGCCCATGCTCTCTGTCTCAGGGGAGCAGGCAGGGAAGAGAGCAGCAGCTGTGGTGGTTGTAGCCAGGTAGGCAGGTTAGCCCTTCCATGACTGTTTGCCTGGGACAGACAGCACAGGCAGCCACAAATGGGCAGGGGGGCAGCGAGTGGGGATCTGGGGAGGGTGGGGTAGAGGCAGTGGGCCCAATCCAGGCCAGTGGGGGGAGATGGGTGAGTGGGGGTATTTACACTAATGTGTAGCCTAGAGTGGCTACATGTTAGTGTAACACGAGGTTGGTAACACTATCAGAGATGAACCAAGGCTGCAGTGGTATAACTTTTAAGTTGCCTAGAGTGCTTAAAAGTAGTTTCAGGTGATAATGTTTGGACAATCCAGGTGTAAAGACCTCCAGGAGCCACTTAAAATTAACATATAACAAGGCCCTTAGACAAGCTTTTGAATGCACTGCATTTTTTTTCACATCTGAGGAAAAAGCAGGCTCAGCAAAGATGAAAAACAGTCTGCCAATTTTTCCATGCAGTTAGGCCAATAAAAGGTATCATCCACAAAAATCCTTGCCTCTGACATATTTCCTGGACCAACATGGCTACAGCAGCACCCCAACACTATTAGATACATTTTCTTATTTCTTATAGTGAAAGTTTCAATTTTATACACATAACTTTTATGCTCTATGAAAAAAAATGTATTAATGAACAGCAGCAAGGGGGAAACAGAAGGGAACATGAGAAGGGAAGTAAAGTGTTATGAGCCTGCAGTAAATAGGCTTAAGACAGGATGGCGACTGTAGTGGCTGCAGGGACTATCAGGGTAGAGAAAGCAGCATGAGTTTGCAGAAGAAGTCAGCACAATGCAAAGGGTGATGTGGGGCCTTGGGCAAAGAGAATAAGGGTGGTTGGAGCAGCAGGGTGGTTAGGATGTGGCTGTGTGGAATGGGAGGCCTTGAAGGTCACAGAAACATCATGTAGCATGAGACTGAGGGGAAACAAGGGGCC